ATCTGGATTACTTACAGCCTATAACTCTCTCGCCACTTCCAGTATTCTCCATAATCCATTCTTCACAGTTTAAAACAAACTTTCAAAAAGGCAAATCTGATTATATCAGCTCTCCAAGCATTATTCTTGAATAATTCTTTAAGAAGAATTCTTAAAATTCTTCAAGGGCTCCTTGTTACCATCAGTGAAAGCCCCAAACCCTTTAACATGACTCTCAAGGCACTGCTTAAAAAGGACCCTGGGTCAGTTCTCCAGCTTAGGATTTTACTGCTTCAACTAATACTCTAATCCAAGCTGAACTTCATCGGTCCTGGAATATATAAATACGTTCCCTTTCATTTTCAGACTTTTCTATATTTTATTCTCTCTTCACTCTTTGCCTGGTCCCCTGTGATCATATTTTTATGAGTGAAAGAGATTGCTTCCCTGTTAGAGCCTTTCCTATATGTTCCTACTATATTCTTTGTTGATGCCATCATAACACCCATGTTCTCATACAGAGTCTAAACACTTGTGGAAGGCAGGGACTGTAATTTATCTTGTTCACTTCTGTATCTCCAGTGCCTGGCACACGGTAAATATTTTTCAAGCAAACTAACGATTAAATCTCAACTCAAAGAGGAAGAAAAAAAGGAATTCATTTGCAAACTTTTTCAATTTTCTAATTTAATAGAAATAACCAAAACAATGTGGCTTTCAAACAAGGCTTTAAACTAATCTAATACAACTTCTACAACACATTCCAGAGCATTATAACAAGAAATATTTACAGGCAGCTAATGTATTAAATAACCATGAAAAAGAAAATCTTGCTTTTAATACACACCAGCAAAAAACACAGGAACGGAACAATTAGAAACTGCAACCTTGTTTTAAAAAATTAAATATGATTATTTAGAGAATACAATACCACAGAAACAGCACTTTTTCTTTAAGAATCATATTGAAGGGTAGTTAATTATGTGCAAAAATAATAGTTGTAGTAGTAGTAGTAGTAATAATAATAATAATAATAATAATAATAATGAGGGGAGGAGACCAGTTGAAATACTGGAAGCAAGGAACTAGTAAGGCTATGAATTTAACCCTTTCGTGTGTATGTCTACATAGAAAATTAACAGGCTTTCAGATTGCACATACCGTTTTTATAGGCTTATATACATGTTTCACTGTGATTTAAAACATAGTAAATGCCTACATTTTTCAGACCAGGAGCAGACAAGCACTTCCTTCTTAAGACTGAAATTTAGGCCACACCTGAAAGGGAATATTGCAGTGGCACCTACAAAGTCATTTGAGTGCCTTCCCACATACAAATTCGGTGTATTTTTGACTTTAAAGATTACTTGCTAGAAAAGGGCTAAACTTAATTTTGTACATTTTGTAGTATGATTATGACAAACATATCCAAATTGAGTTATTTTTGAAGATAATTTTCTCAGATACAATAAAAAATATATAAAAGACCACGAAGGCAAACACAAGGAACTAAGATGGAAGATATGCTTTACATGCATTTTGGCCAAGTAAAAGAAACCATTATATCCAAGAGTACATGTTGAAATCTGAAATGTCTATGTAAACTGTGGCATATAAATTTTTTTCTTAAAAAAGTACCTTCAATTTTTTTTACTCAAATACCTACTTTTAAAAAAATATGCAACTTTCCCCAATTTTTAAAATAAAATGCCACAATATATTGTCATAAGCTCCAGCATACATTTAAATTTCTTATTTTTTAAAAGATAGACTGGGTGATATGCATACAAACTTTCCTATAAAATCATCCGGGAGAGGACTATGACATGCCTATTAGGCAACAGACCTAAAGCAGTGTTATTGCTTTATCAAGGAGGAGAGAACTATGAGAAAACTAAAAGAAAGCATCCAGGTTCAGTTCAAGATCAAACTGATACACCTTGAAAACCTTGGATCATCTTCAGCAGATTAATAATACAGACGGTATGAATTAAGCATCTGATTGTTTTAATTAGGGGAGTTGGGGTGGGTGGATTTTACAAAACTACTCACCGATCCAATGCTGAGTATGCAAATAAGCAGTGTTGACTTCAACAAGAAATGAGATCTTTATACTTCCTGTGTTGTGAATGGGAATGGGTAAGGGACTTAAAAAGGCCAAGGGAGAGGGGGCCACAGCATCTACTCCCATTTTGGATACTAAGAGATTGCTGACTAACATATGGTAGGCCAAAATCCAAGGGCACAGTCAGAAGACCTAAGTCTACTGGCTTATTAACACTAATTACTAATAATTACATGGCAGGATACCTGCTGAGGTAATTGGTAAACCTACAATTTGCACACTATTAACCTTTTGCTTCTACTTAAAAGCATTATTTCTTTGGATTAACTAAAAATCTCAAAAACTGTTACAACAAAAAGTGAGAATTAACTGACTTTATATTATTTAAAATTCCTTTATATAAGACATAGAAGTCAGAAAGTACCTTGTGGATTCCAAAAAGAATAATTTCAACAGGTGATCCAATGCCTTATCATCTCTCTGTGGTAATGATTTGATGTTTCTATATAGAGCATGACCTACAATCTAACCATACTTTGGAACACTTACATGCTTCACCTTGCAAAACAGTTCCTTTACTCAATCAGCTGAGCCAAGTGCTAAAAAAAAATACAAATTTAGGCCAGCAGAACAGACTGAGGAACACTTTGTTCTTAGTGTTCTGATGGGAGATGGGAACTGAAGTATTGCAAAACTTTGCACATTTTTAAGGAAATATTTAACACCTCCAAATCTAAAATACTGCCTTTTAACAAAGAAAGAGTAAATTGCCTTCAGGAATTGATATTCAATGTTTGCTTTTTTGAAACATAAATTAATAGAAAAACATGAAGACATCTGAATATCAATTTAAGCTTTTATACTTTCTAACGGTTATATTAGATAGTGGCTGAACTGATTATCAGCTTAGGAACACAGTGATCAGTGTACAAGAAAAAAGCTTCAATGAAATCTAAATCTTCATTTAAGGGTGGTTTGTTGATAGCTATTTACTTAAGAGTAAATCCTCAGTAATATGAATTGTCTTCTGTTAACAGAAATGGAGCCTATTAAATGTTGACAATAAAGTGGCTTTTCAAAAACCAATCTTAAAAGAAAAAAAATATTACACCTAACACATGGAAATATCTTTAAGGGAACACATTATCTTTTAAGGCCCCAAATATCAAGAAATATTTACTTAAAATTTAGTTTCTCCCCCATTGGTAGAACCTATATAAAAGATTTATCTAAGAATCATGAAAAGGATTCATCTGAAGAGCAAGTATAAAATATCAGAAATCAATGGCTTGACAAAAGAAGTTATACTGCGTGCTACTCATCGCTTTCCAAAAACGTGCCCTTAGATACATCTGATAAACTGAAATCATAAAAGTTGTGGGAAAGAGAGAAATGCACATAAATAAAGCATTTTAAAACGATTCTCTCCCTCTTATAAGAAAACTCTTCTTAGGTACCTGAAATTTGAGTAAAATGATAAAACAGTTCGGTGTAAATTTTAAAGCTGAACTTATAACAAAACAAAGAGAAGCTAGAAGGAAGCCACAGAATGAAGTCAGTCAACAGCAGTAATAAAATCAACACCACTTACATACACCATCAGAAGGCCTGAATAATATTCATGTTTACCCCCAACACTTGTTAAGAAAAGAAAAACCCAAAGGAATTTGTATAATAATTTCTTTAGAGCACTTTATTTGATTCAATATGCACTAAAAAATATTTACCTCTTAGACAATTATGTCAAATAATTTTTACTGAGTAGTCTACTGTCTGAACTGCAGAAGCTGAAGTTTTAAAAAGGCAAATGATTTGCCACAAATCTGCTGACGTCTGAAAAATATCTAATGGTAAGTCTTCTATTTTGGTCACTTTATATTCTAAGGTGTCCATAAAAAAGTAGGACTAAATTTTTTAATCCAACAAAAGAGAAGCCTGTACACGGTCTAGAACACACATCTTGGATCTGAGCATCACAAATGAAAAGAAGAAAAATGAAACCAAGCCAAGGTGGTTTATCTGCCTCAGGGGCTGAACTCAGGGTAGTAAAGGTGGGTTTACTCCAGTAACCATTCAAGTGGGGATTGGCTCATTTTCAGGATTTACTTACAGGCCTCTTCTAAGTCCATTAAGCCCCAGTCCATGCAAATGTCCCACTTGGTGGACAGATGAGTAATCTAACCCCACCGGGTTTATTTCAATAGTTTGATATTTAATAATAAGCTGCTTCTGAAGATTTTCTGAGAAGTCTGTTCTCTATTAAAATAAGATAGAACCTCAAAATATGAATGTGAACATTAGAAATAGACAGCATATATTACAAATCCATTCTTGATAGGAACATTAGTAAGAATACACATTAGCTTAAAAAACAGGCTCAGCAAATGTTGCTGATCTGCCAGAAGTTTTAGTTCACTATTTACAAATAAGACAAAGTGAAATACAGAAAATTTTACACATTTGGTAGTTGACAGATTACTGTTTGCCAATAGTGGTCTATCAGAAAACTGACATGAAGGAAGACTGGATAAGAGCCAGTTGTCACCTTCTCAATCAAATTTAAATGTACAGAAAACTATAGATTAATTTTGAAATGAACATTCTGCCTTTGATGGGAGTAACTGTATGATCAGATGATCTGATTGGGAAGTGCAATTCTGTGGAAGTGTTTTTCTGGAAATGATTACTCTATGATCTGCCACTGAAAAGTTAATCATATTTATTTCAGCAGACCATTAAAATTGATTAAATGATGATCAATGATGTTTCCTAGACTCTAGGTATAAATAGAAAATAAAACTACCGTTGAGTTCTTTAAGCCGTTATAAAAACTATAAGGCCCAACAGCATCAAAGTTAAGAAAAAATATAATGGCATGATTCAACACACATCTGCACTGACATCAAAGTGGAATCTGAGTAACTTTGATTTTACCTAGAAAACAAACCAGTATGTATGTGTGTGGAAGGGGAGGCATGAAAGTTGTTTTTAACAGCTGTGCACTCTTGTCCAAAGAGACAATTTATCAAGCGACATGACCCTCAAGTATTTACTTGTACACCCAGCATCCTGAACCAATCAATACCACATGATCACCAACATCTGCCATTCTAAAGAACCATCCTCTTTAGTAACAGAAATCTTCAAATCATTTCACTTTTGCTTTTTGTTTTTACTTTTGAAGTTGCAAATAGAGTTCTCTCCCCCCTTTCTTGACAAGAAGTGACTTCTGTCCATTACTTCAACCTAATACTGTGTAAAAGCTATCAGCTTCTTCAAGGAGGTGCCCACTGTAGGCAGGATATTCCAGCAACACTTAAATAAAAGGGCTTTTTTTTTTCTCTCTTTCTTTTATTTTTTTTTTAAACAATTATTTAAGTTCATGTCATTTTACTTTATATGTACTGGTCTCTCATCTGACTTTAGGCGTTTCCTGCGGGGCTGTATAAAGTCTTCATCAGAGTCCTCAGTTACCTCACCATCATCCTCTTCCTGCTCAAACTCTGGCAAAGGTGCGAAGGTCCTGTCTGAGTAGATCTCTGTGAGTTTATCTTCAAAGTACAATGCAACTGCTTTCCCTGCCTGAGCTACTTCTGAATCAGCCTGCAAGCAAAAGATAGGAATATTCACCTATTGGTAATGCATATTCTTTCACCAAGTTTGCATGGTCTGAAAAGCTTACCTTCAAATTAATCTCTTGTGTTTCTGCATAAACTTGAACAACTTTCATCATCTAAAAAGGATACCAGAGTCAAAAAAAAAAAAGGGAAATTATAATCCTTTCTAAAGTTATGAAACTGCATAGGATTGGCGACGAAAGTCAGCCATACTAGGGGGAACAAATTGCTATAACCAGATTAAGTGCTTTCTAAAATTCTACAGAACACATGAAACCACTTTCTTTACAAAGTTCTGTTACTACAGCTGATGTGAAACCTCAAGAACGCTCTCAAATTCTGAATTAGTTAAGTCAATCTGAAATGGAGGTCAACTGAATACATCAATCTAATTAAGACAAAAAAACTAATCATATAAGAAATGTTGCTTTTTAAAAACTGCCAAACCATCAACAAACCACTTAGAATTCTATCTGTACGGCAATCTGTTAACCATAAATTATTTAACTATTACTAAAGCAGATAAAATGTGTCTTCTTCCTCGCAAATGTTAGCTACAATTCACAAAAGCACATTTATTTGAAAATAATCTAACTGGATTATAAAGTAAGACAAAAAAACGAGACTATACCGATTTAACTTCAAGTGAGTAAGGTTTTACTATACTCTGTGGTATAGTGCTACACTGTACTTTTAACCTATAAGGATTTTTTTTTCAAATTTTAAAAAGGTCACCTAGACGCTTCCAGAGGTAGCTATGAGTACACTTTAAATGATTTGATGTCCTTTTAGTAACAGTCATATGTCACCAAATTTCAACCACAATAAAGAAGATATTTTACTGTTAATCTTTCTAAAGATTTTGTAGATTCTTATCCAATTCCATTTTCTTCTCCTAGAATAATGAAAATCTTCCCTAACAATAAGAGACTTGCCTTTTCTCAAAGAAAACAAAACAATTTCCTTGAAGGAGTGAGTCATGTATCATATTTTTCCTCAAGGATAGCCATCCTTATCCTCAAAAAGATACATAATCAAAGTTAATGAAAGTCATATCGCTGAGATCAAAAAATTCAACATTATATACTCTGGGCTACTATTCAAGATGAGTCACCAGAGATTAGTTTATGATATTATTATTTTAATATTATTAACCTACATTAATAATAAAAATCAAAGGAACCAGTACAAACGCCTTTCCTAAATGTACCCCAAATATAAGCTATTTATAATCATTTCCCATATACTTAACTACAGACTACTTTCTATACTTGTATATCTCAATCCTCAACTTGTTCAAAAAGGCATATCCAATATACTTCAAATTATACACAGTAAACTTTCTTCATTAGAGCTGTGGATGCAATCAAATTTTACTTTTGACAGAAGTGCAGCAGAAAAATTTTTTTTAATCAAATTAGAAAAATCTCTTAGCAGGAAAAACAATTAAAAAATAAAACAAGCAAAAAAAAAAGAAACCCAAAAACTAATAATCCAAGACTTTATAGTTTGGAAGCTAACATACTTCATTAAACCTTTCACAGTTCTTGAAGATCAAACGGACATCAGCCACAAAGTCATCTGGGATTTGGTAGTGTTGGGAATGTTTTTTCTGAAGCTTCTTTTTCACCGTGGATAAATCCATTGGTTTCTTTATAATTTTATAGTAGTTTGGTATCTAAAGAAACAAATAAATAAGGATAGATAAGGATTCTCCAAAAATGCCAAACTGTTTTATTTGAAAATGCATAGCACATTGATTGTAGAAAACAACATACGTTAATTATTGACCCAGCTGCTTACAAATTTTAGGTATAGTAAAGGTATTTTAAATCTTATGCCCCAATCATATATCATAAAAACCAAATCATATTCAGAATCTGTGGCAGTCTTAATGGTTAATGAAGACCCCAAAAGCTCTATCTGTGGTAAGGAGATATGGAAAGAACGCAATCAGCAAGGGTAGCCAACCATTAGTGTTAAGGACACATCTGGCTCATCAGAATATTATGACTCCTGAAGAGTTTTGTTTTTTTTTAGAAGGAAAGAAAAAATAAAAAGAACAAAAATTATTATTATTATTATCATTAGAATGTTATCTTTTAGAGGCTAACTATATCACAAAGAACTCTGGACATAAAACAACAGAGGGAGAAAAAGCATAAATAACAAGAAAAATTTTATTAACCCTTTAGTGATCATGCCAGGGAGAGTTCTGACCCCAACTTCTGGCCAAAAATTTGTACCCTTGAGAAACAATTGAACTTGGAGAAGCCATTTAGACAGTTGATGAAAAGAAATGTTTGAAAGTTTTCTACTGTAAAGTCCCTGAACTTAAAGACAAACTTCCTAGTATCAGATGATTACTACTTACACAAAACAGCTTCCTTGTGTCTAGGTCTTTTGTGCTTTAAAATTCATTTCTGAGCCTACCCAGTAAACAAGTCTACTATTTAATATTCTATTATAGGCCTGGTATTCAACAGTATCTTAATTCAACAAATGATGGTGAGCAAATGTGTGTAGCATATTCTCATTCCATTTATGAAGCCTGAGGACCCCTGATATTCCTTTCCTATGGGACTTTACAGCTTTTATTCCTTATTAGTCTCCTTTAAGATAAACAAAGAGCATTGACTTCCAAAACTTCCAGTCCTTTCTTAATCTTGACTATTCATAAAGAGGGCTTATCTTCATAACGTAAGAGCCAGTGTGAAAGATTCAATTTTACATTTTTATTCAAATTAATACTTACATAGAGAGTGTTTTCTCCCCAAGGTACAGAGCCTAGAATCATAGAACTGGAATTTTAGAAATAATTCAGTCCAGTACTCCCACTGTATGTTTAAAAAAGTAGAGGCAGAAAATTAAATAGTTTCCCCAAAGTTTTAAGGCTGGTTAATGGAAGAACTGGGAGAAGTTAAGTCTTCTGACTCTTGGTCCAAGATTCTTTCCGTTACACCCATATCCTTTATGTCCATTTTAAAAGTGAAAGAGGATATAGAAATTAAATTCATTAAGTTTTCACGACAACAACAAAACCTTTAAAAAACAAAATGCAATTTTTGACAAGTGAATCCCACATCCATAAGAGCCCTAATAAAATTTTAGATTAATAAATACTTACAACATTATCAGGTACTGTGCTAAAACATTCTTTATCCTATGTGTTCTTGGAATATCCAAAATGGGGAAAGAAATAGTATTAGAAAAGAAAACTTGAACCCTGGAGAGGTTGAGATTATTCAAGAAGCCTGACACAAGAAGTCTTAAGGCCACAGCCAACACTCTTAAGTCTTAATACTAAGTTTCTTCACCAGAGATGTCAAAAAGTAAACAACTCACCGAAGCAGGAACTGGCTCCTGGAATTCAATACTTAATTCATGGCAATAGAGGTAAAGCAGAAGACGTTCACATTTCTGGCCCAAAAAAAAGGAAAGGAAAACTCATGAAATGTTTTTTCCCCTAATAAGATATTCTTTTTTTTTTCTTAAGAGAACTTTATCAGTACAAAGCATTATTACAACAAACTGAACATATGCTTCCTATATATTGACTTATCTAACTAAATACACATACCCAAAGAAAACCGTCTTGTTTCCCATTTAGTTTTGAGACTATCTTCTGTTCTACTTTAAATGAGTTTCTGTTCTACTTTAAATGAATTTATCAAGGATAGAATGTTTTTGTTCTTAGACAACGACTAAGGTAATTTATCTACTGCTGACTACAGAAATGGAAAGGAGTCGGTCATAAAAGCAACATACAGCATTTTGTGCAAAAATTTATAAATTACTAGGTAATCCTATAAATCTTAGTAATTAGGATTACTTAGTAATCTTTTTTTTTTTTTTTTTAAGATTTTATTTGGGGCGCCTGGGTGGCTCAGTTGGTTAAGCAACTGCCTTCGGCTCAGGATGTCAGGGTCCCAGGATTGAGTCCCGCATCGGGCTCCCTGCTCAGGAGAGAGTCTGCTTCTCCCTCTGACCCTACCTCCCTCATGTGCTCTCTCTCTCTCATTCTCTCAAATAAATAAATAAAATCTTTAAAAAATAAAAATAAAGATTTTATTTATTTGACAGAGAGACAGTGTAAGAGAGAAAACAAGCAAGGGGAGTGGGAGAGGGAGAGGGAGAAGCAGGCCTCCCACTGAGCAGGGAGCCCGATGTAGGGCTCGATCCCAGGACCCTGAGATCACAACTTGAGCCGAAGGCAGACGCTTAACGACTGAGCCACCCAGGTGCCCCAGGATTACCTAGTAATCTATAGCAATCCTAGTAATCTATAAATTACTGCTGTTGCTATTCACTGTAATTCTCTGATGCAAGCAAGACACGTATTATTCTTTCTTTTCCTGAAATGATTCTATGCAGGTCCAAAATTAAATACAAATTATGTCTTCTCAATACAATTCTAGAATTTTTTATACAGTCAGAAAATGAAATGCATTTTACATTTAGTTTTCATTTGCTTAAACTTCTTTTAATAGAAATTTATACACACTAAACAGATAGTAGAGGGGGATTTTGCCAGTATATACATCAGGATCAGAGCCAAACATAACTGTAATGACCATAGAGATTTTGATTTTGGAGATGAGACCAGATCAGCAGAAATCTGAGTGAAATGAGGACAGGATTCTGGATTTCATTTTTAATGACAGAAAGCTATTAGAGGATTTTAAGCAAGGAAGTGGCAGACTTGTTTATATTTTTTAAAAAGGATACTATGTACAGGCGCCTGGGTGGCTCAGTCAGTTGGGCGTCTGACTCTTGATTTTGGCACGGGTTGTGGTCTCAGGGTCGTGGCTCTGCGCAGAGCTGGCTTCAGAGTCTCTCACTCCCTCTCCTCTGCCTGTCCCCCCTCTTGTACTCTCTGAAATCTTTTTTAAAAAAGAACACTATGTACAGTACAGAAAACTATAGCAGGAAGAGGCAAGAGTAAACTCAGAGAGTCTGAGTGAAGAGTTTATTATGATAGTGCAGATGAACAACCATGAGGGCTATCTCAGAAGGTGATGGTAAGGACAAGTAAGAAAATCATATTATGGTCATTTCTGATTCTTTTACTTCTAATAGATTTCTGGCTTGGTACCATTTAATGATGGGAAATACCAGAGGAAGAGTGCAGTTTTTTGTTGTTATTTGCTTGTTTATTATTTATATGTTTTTTTTGAAATCAAGCCTTTGGTTGGGACATGTTAAATACGAGGAAGCTGGATATAAAAGTCTAGAGGTGCATAGCCAGACAACTACAGAATCCCTAATAATAAATCCAACTTTATCTGACACTTACCCTTTGGTCCACGGGGCTTAACCCTTGTGCAGTTTTCCCCTTCTTACTATGTTGCAAATTATCACAATCATATTCAACTTCTGGTTTCCCAATATCTCTGCAAAATGTGCATATCCAGTCCCCACTAAAGAGGGAAACAGGCAATTAGTCCTTGTAATTATTAAAAAACCCACTCTAGAGAAGCTAATTCTCTGGAGGTAAGTCTCCAGTTTGCTTTCTTTCCTTTCCACAGTCTTTGAGGGGAAGAGAGGCTCTATTCTTGTCAGATCTCATAAAGTGAAGCTGTATGATAAAAGCTTCCCAAAACTTTTCCCAGTCATTCTTCAATTAATTACTTTCTAGAAAGCTTTATGAAACTGGTAGCCCTGCATTTCAAAAGGGATCTCTTCATAACACCAAGTAGATGATCAGTACTTACAGCATAAGACTGACTGTCAACCCCAGTTACTACCTCACAATGACCCCACACTCATGAATAAGGAAAGATTATGGGATATGGAATTCCTCGGGTATCCCATACTGGTTTGGCATGTGTTAAATACGCCAAAAATAAAACAATTCTTCTTCACGCCAGTCAAAAGCCAAGAATACACACACACACCTCTATAAATACAAACACATGTACATATACCCCTTACCTTTTAAATTTGCTCAGTCTGTAGTTTGTTTACATCAGGATTTCCGTCAAACTGTAAATTCTAAAATGATTCATTCCCAGTAATTCTCCCTACTCTCCCCGCCATAAAGAAATTCTAAATCTAGAGATTGTACTAGTCTTTGCCAACAGTTCCAATTCCTTCCGAAGTATCAGCCTTTGAGAGAAAGCATTCAGTGGCAAAATTCTAACATTCCAGCAGATGTTACAACCCAAAGGGAAGAAAAATATGAAAAGCCTTAATTACAACATCAAAATGTCAATACTTTTCTTCTATAAAGAGTAAAGTAAAAGAAGGCCCTTATTACATCTCTGGCAAATGACTATCTATTCCTCTCTTAAGACCTAGGTAAGAATTATGATTCTTCAGAAAAATATTCTGGCACTGTTTATATATCCACCATTTTTCTAATCCAAAAGGTTGAATTATTCAAAATGAGTAGCATTTACTCAACTAAAATCACTGCTTCTTAGGACTGAGAGGAAATGTGAATGCTTTATTTAAAGGCAGAAAAAAAGCTGGACTTTCCCAAGAACACTATTTACTGTCACTTAAAAGGGTAATTTGGGGTAAGAGCTTGGGAAGGGGGAAGGTCTCTGAAATCAACTGGAGACAAAATGGCACAAACACAACTTGTTAAATGAGAAATGTGCACACAGTGCTACAGGCTGGCACTACAATTAACTGCTGCCACTGGTCAAGAGGAAGCGATAACTAAAAACTTCAAGATGTTGCAGGTGTTTTTACGAAGTACTTTTTCCTTTAAAATGCCTTTCAAGAGCTTTCAAACTTCAGAAAAGTAGGTTCTAGGTAAGACCCAACAGTTGCCTCCAACTGAATAGTATTCTTAAATGAAATTATTGTACATCCTATTAAGACTGATGGCAATAGATAAAAAAAATTCAGCTTCAAGAGGAAATCGATTAAATTCTCCAACACCCCAGGCCCCTGCCTCTCATAATTTAGTGTTATCTACTTTGTTACACTAAGTATAAACTGAAGGCCAGGAAATAGTCTACTTTTTATCATTCATACACTACTTAGATCTTGGACATTTCACCATTCAGCTGTTAGTTTCTCTAGAAGGTAATAACAGAGGAATAATAGGCTCCCTGTTTTACAGAAACAGTATGCATTGGTTAGGAAGGCCATCTGCATGAACAACTGTTTGTTTTTGTTTTTTTTTAAGCTTATAAAAATAAACAAGAACAAAAAAATCAATTATCTCACTGGTACCTTGGAAAGCTAAGAAGTGTTGGAACATGACAAGTTAGATGAAAGACCTTTGGACATTTTTCACAGCATAACAGATCCCCTCCATTTTGGCAGACAGCACACCAGTCTTCATTTGGGTCATCATCTTTGCTACTGCCATCTCCTCCAATCCTTGACGACCTGTGTACGAGGCTTCGAATTGGGGACTTTCCATTAACAAGGCTGCTGAGCCCTGACTGTTTGCAGCTTTCATTTGTATCTGCAGGTTCAGTTTTCACATGGTTTTCCAGGCTTGCTAATGCATCCAATTCACTCTCTAGATGCAGGTTGGTTGAGAGAGGTGGTGTCAAGCTACTCTCAGGACTGCTCAACTAAAACAAAACAAGGACAAATTCTTAAAGAATCATTTAATCCTTAGTGTATGCAATGTGCATGTAACTTAAGAGTTATGTCAATACACATACATGTATGCTAACATAACAAAAAATAATTTGGAAATGACATTAGTGACATAAAGTAACGAAAAATTATTAGGCATGTTAATTTATGATTTTACAGAACACTCTAATATTGGTTCATTTGGATAATAAGAAAATTAAACTAACTGTTAAGCACACTGATTGTAAAGTGAGCACAGGGTTATACTTTTCCTACAAAGAGCTGACTAAGATACCCTATTTTTCACACAAGAATCTGTTGCATAGCTTTTAAGAAATGTTACTCTGCCCACTTATCATTTTATTAAAGTAAGAAGATTGTGACAATGGTAAAAAAAAAAAATCTTTTACCACCCTTAAAAGCACCCAGTTTTCTGGGGGCACTTTCCAAACCGGATACTGGATGAAGATGTGACACCACAAATACAAGGCTAAATCCCTTTGCTCTTAAATGTACATATACTGTGTTAAATATGCTAATATTCCAAGCTGAAATGTCTATATGCCAACCATGTAGAAAATGACACCTAAGCCTGGGCAGGAAGAAAAAACCAAGATCAAAATTTATTGCGTGGGGGGAGGGGGGTGGCGCAGGAGGAGGAAGAGAAGGTGGCTTTCCTTCATTCTATATTGTAAATTGTATAAAATGTTCTATCTGAAAAACTTATAAATGGTTAATTATTCATAAGCCAAAGGCAATCTTCCCATCACACAACTCTTTGAGCATTAAACTTCTTTCATGTCAGCAGTCCTAACCCTGAGCTCACAGGTCCAGGAAAATAGTCAAGGATCTTTGGTGTCCTGAGACTCAGTATGACTGTTGAGATGATTAATAAAGTCAAAACAAAATAGAACCCGATTTAGAATCATGGCAAAAATACTGACCAATAACAAACTAAAAGATATTTCAAATTTGTCAAATCTTTTGTGATAAACTGCAGCTGACACTTAGATGAAAAACTTGAATTACAGAAAGAGATATTTGAATTATACCAGGCACAAATATCCAAAAATAAGTAAGTGTCCATAGAACCACTATTCAGTCTAATAGGGAGAGCTGGAGATTCCACGAAGCAGCCTCCCTGAATCCCTGAGAGAACCCGGGGAAGCTTACCATGCAGGCACTCCTCCTGCCATCCTCTGTCTTTTCTTGTTTAACAGCTCCTGAAAAGCTACATATTTCATCTTCAGTCCCAGGTTCTTGTTTGACCTTCACTTGATCAGACTTAAAACTAAGACTTGTCTTCTCAGCAGTTCTTCCTGATGACCCACAGCTAATAAAAAACAATAAAAAATGTCACATGTCTGTATAATATACAGAAAACCAAATACACAAAAAGTAATACTCATTAAAGTAAAAACAGACAACGTATTAGCTTTCTGTAAGATAAAGATACCTCATAATGCCGGTAAGAGAAATATGATATAAGCTTAGCTTCAGATTCTTTAAAAACGTAGATCAAACTTTCAAAAGACCCTAAAAACATATTTTATGGTGTGAGGCACTTATACTAAGTCATTTAAACCATCTTTCCAGACTAGTTAATACAGAATGTTAGCGATTGCTTTTCTCTATAAAAGTAGTTTCAATTCTTCTCTGCCCCCAAACAAATGAAGAAGACCCTAATAATAGTTGTTCATGAAGCCTCCTCAAGGGAACCTCTACTTTAGCTTGTGAGGGCAGGACACTGGGAGATGAGGATACCACGCGGTCACCAGCCCTGAATATCCTTATTTGAAGAAACAAAATGACAGGCTAAGAGGACAAGAGTATATGACTAATCAGTTCCATCTAGACCACAAAGTAAAACCACTGGCAAGAGAGGCGAATAACTAGTAAGACTGTACTGTTACTGAGAATGAATACCTTTTTACTCAATTTGTACTTTTCTTTTAAAAGTAATGATTATTTATTTAAAGTATAATTAAAAAGTCAAGCAAGTATTTAATAGCACTAGTCTTCAGAATGCACACACACAGCCAAATAAAAAAAAACATTCATGTAGCTTAAATCTTCCCTGCAGCATAAAAATCAGGCAACATTTATTCTATTTTTTTTTAACATTTATTCCATTTTATGTTAACACACTCCACACACCACCCCATTTCTTAGCTTTGTCCACCAAAAAGGCGTAACAAGCAATTCAGCAGCAACGAGTGCCCCTAGTACCCAGGAAACTGTCTCCAAGCACTATTTCCTCACTAACACAACCAGAATTTCTTAGAAAAATGGTGGGCTCTAGGCCTGAGGCAGGAAATATGTTAAGACAAACCTGGAACATCATTTCATAACAGGAAATAAGGAAGCTTTCAAAGACTACCGGGGTTATACCAAAGGCCTAAGGAGCCAACTTGAAAAAGCTCTGACAGGCCAAAGATGGAACAATATAACCCATTAATAAAAATAACATCTGTAATAGTTTGCAATATATAAAATGTTTAAATATATGAGTTCATGAAGGTAACTAAAAAACTCAAACAAAACAAACACTCACTGGTCACTGTTCGAAGGTGCTGGGAACCAACTCACTATTATGAAAACAGAAATAAAAAAGAATCTCTTCTGCCTGTCCTATAACCAAACAGATGATGACAGAAAAGTTTCTCTTTACAGAAATATTCTAAACTAGTAAATAAAAAGAAATAACACAATTAAAATATCGTTATTTTTCAACAAGTTAAAAAAAAAAAAAAGAACTAGGCAATGATCAATTAATGGTTGCTGTCACAAACAAAAACCACCAAATGTTATGTGCCCCTTATGGAAGTACATGCCACCATCAATGAAGAATTCTTCCCACCCCACCCTCCCCCTGATCAAACCCCCTGATCAAAATTATCAATACAGAGGAAAAAAACAGCACATACTGTATTTAAATGACAAGGTGGGGGAAAACTCTGTATGAGAAACAATATATTTCTTCATCATATAAATCAATTTTGACCTCAATATATCTGTTGATGGCAATGTTTCAAAATAATCCAGACCAGGGACAAATACATGGGAGCAAAGAAGAGATAAAACTGGCTATAACTTGGTAATTGTTGAAGCCAGGTGATAAGTATAGGAGTTCAATGTAATTTTCTACTTTTTTAAATACATATTTAAATTTTTTCTTAAGGAAAAAAAAACTAGTAACGTTAATACTCACCTGCCTCGACTGCCAGTACTAGAGGTACTAGGGGGTCTCACAGGTGTGTGAGAATTGGATAAACCTGGAAAATAATATGTCAAAATGAATTATTAATGCAGATAAAAATATTCAGAATTCTACCTAGTAGTTACAGAATTAAAGATTACTATAATGCAATTTAGCAATTCTTGGAAATCAGACCTAGCCTTAATGTCAAAATCAGGGATGGCCATGTATAACCCTTGGCAGGAAGTCATCAACCAGTTTCTGTCAGCTGAGCCCAGACAGGATTCTCAGAATCCTCCTCAGAGCAACACTATCCAATCAATGAAAACTACCAGGTCAAGAGAAAGCTATTTGCCACCTTGCCCCAAGTCATCTGGTAAGTCTCCTACTTAGATTCCCAGTAATTATTCTTTCTTTTAGAAGTCCTGGAATAACTATATTAAACCTTAAAAATTCTACAACTAAAAATCACATTAATGATGCATCTCATGAAAGACTCACATTTATTTGAACTATTTTTACTCTAGAAATAATAAAGTGGTCTGTTTCAGTAACAAATAAGTAATATTTAATTTAATCCAAAAAAATACACTCCATAACCACTTGTGCACTGTCATTCTGTTTGGAGTTGCTTTAATCATTCATTCATGATAACAGGGTCAATAAAATAACCTGGATTTTGGAAGAGATGTATATCTCATAGACTTGATTAGTCACAACTTTGTTTCCAGTAAATTTAAATTTTTGTTTTAAAATTGCAATTTGAAAATTTACTTGTCTTTCCTCTTGTTTTTTTTTTTTTTAATTTTTCAATATCTTATAAGTTTTAAACTTGGGATGAAACCAAAGAACTCTTCAACTGACCATCTGTATCATAAAATATAAGCAAATGCATCTACAAATCTCGCCAAGAATGTGAAAACAGCTAGGGGTTGAGGGAAGGGTAATTAACAGCTCTGAACAGTGTATACTACAGATATATTACTTCAGTTAGCTGAAAACTGCCAACAGTATTTGAAGAGATATAATTAGAAAGAACAATCGGAAAAAAAAAATGATCTGATACTACGATGGTTAATTTTATGTATCAATTTGGCTAGAATATAGCTACTCAGTTGTTTGGCCAAACACCAGTCTAGATGTTGCTGTGAAGGTATCTTTAGATGTGAGTAACATTTTAATCAGGAGATTCTGCCTAAGCCGATCAAGCTCCACAATGTGGGTGGGTGTCATCCAATCAGTTAAAGACCTTAAGAGAAAGGACTGAGGCCCCCAGAAGAAGGAATTTTGCCTCCAGACTCAAGCCTGTAACATCAACTTTCCCCTGTTAACCTGCCCTATATGGCTTGCCAGTCCTAACAATCATATGAGCCAATTCCTTAAAATCTCTCTCTAAACACACACACACACACACACACACACACACACGCACACACGGCTCCTATTCGTTCTGTTTTTCTGGAGAACCCTAATATATACATATACAGTTGACCCTTAAACAATGTGAGAGTTAGGGACATTGACCTGACCCCCAATTGGGCAAAAATCGCATATAACTTTTGACTCCCTAAAAACTACTAATAGCCTACTATTGACCAGAAGCCTTACCGATAATATAGTCAATTAACACGTATTTTGCATGGTACGTATATTATATACTGTATTCTTATAGTAAAGTAAGCCAAAGAAAATGTTATTAAGAAAATCACAAGGAAAAGAAAATAAACTTACAGCACTGCATTCTTTGAAAAGAATCCACATATATGTGGACCTGTGCAGTTCAAACCCGTGTTGTTCAAGGGTCAGCTGTAACAAAAGAAATGAGGCAGTACCTCTGATGGATTTACCTGATGATCCTGGAGACAGGGCAGAGGGTCCTGGGGAGGGATTCATGGTGCTTGTAGGCTGTGGGGGTAGGTGACTGCCTGAGATGTATCTACTTAGTAGATTATCTAAACTACTTGAACCAGCATCTTCCAACTAAAGAGAAAGAATGAAATGATAAATTTGCTTTGATTAAAGCAGAGGAGAAGCTATTAATTTCATTAGTATAATCGCTTATGTTCACAGTTTACTAACAGATTATTTTATCAAACTTGGCTTAATTGTTGCTTCCTTAGCCTCTCCTGAGGACCCACACAGTTTAAAGTTTTTGTGAACAAAGCTATAATAAATACTATTCAGCAAATACCTGGGGCAGCTCATGACAAAACCCAACAAATCACTAAATCCCTCATGTTCTACCATGAAAATAAAATAGCTCTGACACACACTGACACTTTTGCCTTTTTTCAAAGTTGATGAAGACCCTATTTTCAGCATTCTTGTCCATCTAGTCTTCCTTTTTTATTCCAACATTCACAGTCCTGCCAGAATCACTCACCTCAATAGAAATTTAATCATGTCAGTGCCTAACTTTAAAGCTTTAAAAGATTTCAAACTCAAAATAAAGCCCTTAGCCTGGGATATAAGGTCCCTTATTACACAGGGGCAGCCCACAGGAAAACTGAGCCATTTTCTCACTCATAGGCAAGGCAGTAGGTTAAAGCCAGAGGACCCGGCAACCTAAACATCCATTTCCTCTCTTTAAAACCTCCCAACTACATTGAAGAACTGTAATGATGAAATAGAAAATATTTAGGTAAGAAACAGTAAATACTATTTAATTATGAAAATTACCTTAAGAAAAATTTTACACTATTCCATAAGAGGTGGTCAAACTATTCTTAAACAACTGCCAATCTTGCTTATTGGTCTAACTTGTGCCTATACTTGCCCCCTTTTAAAAAAAGATTTTATTTATTTATTTGACAGAGAGAGAGAGAGAGAGACAGCCAAAGAGGGAACACAAGCAGGGGGAGAGCGAGAGGGAGAAGCAGGCTTCCTGCCGAGCAGGGAGCCCAATGCGGGGCTCGATCCCAGGACCCCGGGATCATGACCTGAGCCGAAGGCAAACGCTTAATGACTGAGCCACCCAGGCGCCCCTATACTTGCCCCTTTTAAGCTTCTCTCCCACTAGAGGCAAATTACCTTTTATGCATATTAGATAACTTATTCAAGACAGAAAACTGAACACATACATTTACTTCTTGTTCTCCTTTCCTCTCAAAATTGCACTGATTTTCATAGTCATAAAACAGAAAAGGATGTCATCAAAGTAGAAACTTTGAAGAAAATTATAGAAATTAAAGCAAGGTAGAATTGGATCAATAGAAAAATGATCAAAATAAAGCAGGTCACAACATATCACAGGCAAGGGAGGACTCTCCTAAAAAGTAAACAGTACTTTCTCATTGAAGCCCTTAAAAAACTTCACATCAGAAATATAAAGGGCTGAAGGTGATAGCAGGGAGGGGCTCATTGGGAGTTGTGCCTGCCCACTAGAAGAGTGGACAGATTAGGAAGAGGCAAACTGGAAGTACATAAAAGGGCCTCCATGATATCACTACAGCTGCCAACAAGGAAATGCTAGCTGAAGCATTCACCCCCAGGTTTCGCTGGACATGGATGAAGAGTAAGCATTAATAAAGTTATAAGTCTAACTGGAAAAACATTAATTCATTTATTGATTAAATCAATGTTCTCTGAGCATGTATAATTTCTATGAATTAAAAGGAAAAAGACAATCCAAAGAAAAAATACAAATTATCAATGAACCTATGAAAAGGCAACCAAGCACACAAATAAAAGAAATGTAATCAAAAGAAATGAAATCAATTAATATCTTTTTAACTATCAGATTGGTAAAGATGGGGGGAAAAGACTGATTCATTTATTTTATTTTTTTTTAAAGATTTTATTTATTTATTTGACAGAGAGAGAGAACACAAGTAGGCAGAGCGGCAGGCAGAAAGAGGGAGAAGCAGGCTCCCCGCTGAGCAGGGAGCCCAACACGGGGCTCGATCCCAGGAACCTGGGATCATGACCTGAGCCAAAGGCAGACGCTTAACCGACTGAGCCACCCAGGTGCCCCAAGACTGATTCGTTTAGTTAGTACTAAGAGCACATACAGAAATGGGTATCCCATAACATTTAAGTTTACATACAAATATCAGAAATACATAGTTTTCCCAAAACTTCATAATATCCAATACAGTATCCAGATAAATGGTTACTAAGTATTCCAAATATGAAAAGTTCTTTATAAAGAATAGATCTTAGAATATACATCTATTGGGGTGCCTGGGTGGCTCAGTCGGTTAAGCTCTTGATTTTGGCTCGGGTCATGATCTTGGGGTCCTGGAATTGAGCCCTGCATCAGGCTCTGTGCTTAGGGTGGAGTCTGCTTAAGATTCTCTCTCTCCCTCTGCTCCCCGCCCCCCACTCACATACGCTCTCTCTCAATAAAATCTTTAAAAAATATGTATTACATCTATTAATTATAATCTAATCTGAATAGAATCTAATATTATGTATTCAAAAAGTATTCATGGGTGCCTGGGTGGCTCAGTTGGTTAAGCAACTGCCTTCCGCTCAGGTCATGATCCTGGAGTCCCAGGATCGAGTCCTCCGTCAGGCTCCCAGCTCAGCGGGGAGCCTGCTTCTCCCTCTGACCCTCTCCCCTCTCATGCTCTCTAATAAATAACTAAAATCTTAAAAAACAAACAAACAAACAAAAAAAACAACGAAAGTATTCAGGTTCATCATGTATCACCTCAAAGTCGAAATTACAAACATGCATTATACCACTATGTTGGAGATGGACAGTAAAGCAAACACAATGAGAGAATTCTATTTAGATCTGTCACGACTACTATTAAGATATATCAACAAATATCAAATATCAAAACTGCCTTTGAATTTACTTCTGATTTGCATTACATAGTTAATGCTACCTTGTCTACTTCCTGTGTAGCCTCCGCCAGGTTTCTTCTTACTATACCATGGAAACTACAGGATAGGAGAGAAAGTAAGTGATTCTTTAAGAGGGGATAGGTTTCCTTCCCTTTCTGTTCTTGGTTCATTTGGTTAACTATTTCTTACTATAGTTGTGCTTTCATGGTAACCACCTCCACTTTTAAAAGCAGATGACAGTAACAAGTGTTTGTAAGAATGTGTAGAAATTGAAACCCTCACACTGTTGGTGGGAATATAAAATGGTGCATCCACTGTGGAATACAGTTTGGGAGTTCCTCAAAAACTTATACAATATATGACACGGCAATTCCACTCCTAGAAATTTACCAAAGAGAACCAATAACCTGTGTTCATACAAAAACTTGTATAAATATGCTCATACCATTATTCCTCACCAGCCAAAAAGTGGAAACCCAAATGTCCATCAACTGATGAGCCCATGAACAAATGTGGTATAACCATACAATGGAATACTAAGCCATAAAAAGGAATTAAGTACTAATGCAGGCTACAACACAGATGGACCTAGAAAACACTGCTAAGTGAAAGAAGCCAGGCACAGAAAGGCATAAATATTATGTAATTCTACTCATGCAAAATGTCTAGAAGAGGCAAAACCATAAAAACAGAAAGTAAATTAATGGTTTCCAGGGATTGGGAAAGAGGGAAATGTGACTGTTAGGTTCTTTTGGGGTAATAAAAATGTTCTAGAAATAGTGGTAATGGTTCATAATCTTGAGCATATATTAAAAACCACTGAATTGTACATTTTTTAAAAAATTGGGACTTCCTGGTATGTGAATTATATCTCAATTTTTAAAAGCAGGTGAAAAAAACGGAAGTCTAATATGATGCCCAGCTTTTCAAAGATGCATAGCATCTATATTTCCTCCATTTGGTCTCTGTCAGAAAGCACCAAACCAAGGTCAAAGTAGCCTAGCAAATTATGTTAAATAAGACATTAGCAAACTTCTTTTCCTTTTCAAAGTTTCTTAAGACCTGGAACCAAGTTTTATTTATCTTCTTATTCTCAATCCCCAAGGACTTTAGCATATACTAAGTGTTTAGCAAAACTTGAATGATTCTTCTAACACTACACATACCTCTCTCTCGTTGCCCAAAACCTCTCAATACTATACCTTTCGAGGCCTACAGTCCAGAACTATCTCCCTACTATCTCTATGGATAGTGGGGAGAAAACTAGACTTGTAATCAGGAATCTGAGCTTTGAATTTTCCATGTACTGGGTGACTAGTCACTAACCTCTCTTACTCTCTCATCCATAAAATAGGGGTATCATATTATCACAAGATGGTTTTACATATTAAACTGATAAACTGCCTGTGGAAATGCTTTGTAAACTATAAGCTTATAACTTAGAAATTTTACTTTTTAGGGGCACCTGCGTGGCTCAGTCAGTTAAGCATCGGACTCTTGATTTCAGCTCAGGTCATGATCTCAGGGTTGTGGGATGGAGCCCTGCTTCAGGTTCCGTTGCTCAGCAGGGAGTCTGCTTGAGATTCTTTCCCTCTGCCCCTCCCCCTGTTCATGCGTGCACTCTAATAAATAAGTCTTAAAGAAATTTTATTTTTTATAGATATATTCCCAAATTTCCCATTCTGTATTGTCCAGTCCTCTCAGCACCAATACAACTACCATTCACTCAGCCAAAAAAGATCTCTCCTAATATTAGGGAAGCAATAAGATTAAGAGAATTCACAATGAGTTAAGTGATTTTGAAACAATTTTGAAGTTAAAGAAACATTCTTTAAAACTAACTCTGATAAAATCCATTAAATACATAAAAATATTAAAATGCAATAAAGGGGCCCAGTGTCTTAGTAATTTCACTGCTCCTTGCTCCCATGGTGACCCTTGACTCTGAGTAATTCATACAATGCATGAGAGGACGACTCAGTATAACTTCAAAGGTTATATTTAAACTTATTAAGTAAAATGTTTTTTGTCAAGTCATTGCCTTGGCTTGATACGGACAAGCAGTCTGCTGTGCCCACTCTTGGTGCCTCAGTGCTTCCACCCACCCTGCCCACAAGCAGATCTACCAACTTGAACAAGTATTTCAACGAGCACAAGGAGTACTGGCATGTCATGTTACCCAGAGAACTTTCCAAACAAGTACCCAAACCCATCTGATGATGTCTGAAGGGGAGTGGAGGAGATCTGGTGTCCCAAAGAGTCTAGGCCGGGTTCATTTCACAATTCATAAGCCAGAATCACAGACTGTTCTCTTAAATAAGCTCTTTCAAAATATAAACAAAAATGAAGTATATCCAGGGATCGTTAATTAAACCTTTTTCAAATTTAATATATATGTGTATGTAAGGTAGTATTCAGTGAACACCTGAAAAATGTACAAATCATTCATAACTGTGCATGAGTTGTATTCTTCACAGCAACAGAGATCAGTTAAATTTAACTGTAATTAAGTTACAAAAAGGTAGATTTTTAAAGATTTTTTTTTTTTAAAGTAACCTCCATACTCAATGTGGGGCTTGAACTCACAACCCCAAGATCAAGAGTTGCAAGCTCCACTGATGGAGCCAGCCAGGTGTTTAAGATAAAATTTCTTCTAGTCAGTTTTTCTCTTAATAATAAGCGTCTGTTTGACTTTGTCTATTATTTTTATATTAAGTAGTTTGTATGCTGCATCAAAAAAACATTTATTTGAGGGAGAGCGAGTGAGCATGCAGGGAGGAGGGGCAGAGGAAGAGGGAGAGAGAGAGTTCCAAGGAGGCTTCACGCTCAGTGCAGAGCCTGACGCAGGGCTCAATCTCAGGACCGTGAGTTCATGACCTGAGCCAAAATCAAGTCAGATGCTTAACAGATTGAACCACCCAGGCGCCGCCCCCACCAAAATATTTTTTTAATAAAATGCTTTTAATTCAAATGAATTCATGAAATTTCAGAAGGCACTGCAAGATCTTTTTCTTCAGGAAAATGCTACAGGTGAAAGGGACAGAAGTCTCAGAAGCTTCTACTCTTCACCATCACTTTCTCTCTCAGTATGCACCACCTCCACCAAGTGCCTGATATCTAGACTTTCCAACTTCTTCCTTTCTTAGTCCAAGCTGTTTGCAGAAGGGGTACACCATCCCTTTTAGACCTAACAGAAGACTGGCAAATATGTGACCACATTTTGGTCCTGGGTCTCCTCTTGGGATCCAAACTTATAGCACAAGTGCTTTATCTAAAACAAGGTTTGTCTGTTGGCAAGTGGCAGAAAGATGAGCAAAGCTGCTATCTTACAGCTTTAAAATATTGAGGCATGCTAGTTTTAGCACACATGACTTTGAAAAATCAAGTATTATACTCTACTCTTTGGAAATTTCAAAACACGTTGCTCCTGAAAAAGGAAAAGAGAAAAGAACAGCAGAAGAATAGGTATACTCTTAACTCCCTAATTAATAACACGAGGTTTTAAATCTCTCATTCAACTTAAATACAAACCTGTATGGGTGGAATATCTGGCAGTGATGGAAGGTTTTCAGGATTGGTGACTGAGGGGATTAGCTCTATTGCTGTAACAGATGGGCTCGTGGGACCTCGATTTGCATTTGCCATCGTAGCTGTAGTAGGGCTGGTTGGATTGATTGTGGTGTTGTGCACCGACACAACAGGGAAGGGTCCAGCATGCCCTGGGTTTGAGTGCTGTTAGGAAAAAAGATGTCATCATTACTTGATCTGCCAAGATATCCTAATATGAACTATACCTTCACAACAATTTTTAGTTCAGGAAAGATACGTGTTTGACATCGGTGACTGAGAAACAAAGAAGTAAGCACTATCTTAACAATAGCCAAGACACAGAAGCAACCTGTGTCCGTGCACAGACAGATGGACAAAGAAGACATGATAGGTATGTGGGTGTCTGTCCATGTACAAAATGTGTATGTGTGTGTGTTTGTATACAGAACAGAGTATTATTCAGCCATAAAAAATGAGGCAATCATCTGCCACAGCATGGATGGACCTTGAAGGCATCGTGCTAAGTGAAATAAGACAGAGGAAGACAAATACTGTATGATCTCATTTATATGTAGAATCTTAAAACAAAAACAAATGCATAGAAAAACAGTTCAGATCTGTGGTTTCCAGAGGCGGAGGATGGAAGAAGTGGGAACTGAAGGTGGTCAAAAGGGGAAAGGTACAAACTTCCAGTTGTAAGATAAAAAGTACTAGGGGTGTAACATATGTACAATACAACCATAGTTTTAACACCATTGTATGACATATAGGAAAGCTGTTAAGAAAGTAAATTCTAAAGAAGATGTGGTGTACGTACTGGTGTGTACACACACACACACACACACGGAATATTACTCAGCCATCAAAAAGAATGAAATCTTGTCATCTGCAATGACGTAGATGGAGCTAGAGTGTATTATCCTAAGCAAAATAAGTCAAAGAAAGACAAATACCATATGATTTCATTCATATGTGGAATTTAAGAAACTAAACAGATGGGGGAAAAAAAGAAAAGAAAAGAGAGGGACACAAACCATAAGAGACTCTTAAAGACAGAGAACAAACTGAGGGTGGATGGAGGGAGGTGGGTGGGGAATGAGCTAGATGGGGGATGGGTATTAAAGAGAGCACTTGTGATGAGCACTGGGTGTTGTATGTAAGTGATGAATCACTGAATTCTACTCCTGAAACCAATACTGCACTGTATGTTAACTAACTAGAATTTAAATTAAAAACTTGAAAAGAAAAAACAGTAAATCCTAAGAGTTCTTATTACAAGGAGAAAAAAAATTTCTTTTCTTTTTATTGTTATCTATATAACATGAATGTTAGCAGAACCTATTGTAGCAATCATTTCACAGTATATCAAACCATTATGCTGTTGTCTTAAATTTATAAGGTGATGTACATCAATTATTAATCAATAAAACTGGAAAAAAAAGAGTAAGCCTTCTCCAACTTATACAAAAAAATAATCATAATTCAAACTTAGGCTTTTCATTTTCCTACTCGTTTTTGTGTAGTATTAGGAAAAGGCAGACTTGCCAATAATTTTCAACCTGTCAACCTGGTGATATGTTATTTCAGAACAAAGATGTATATAAATAGATGATCTGGAAGCCCCCAAAGTTTTCAACATCAATTAGCAATAATCGCGCCTCGGATAAACTTCATTGGCTACAATACTGCCACTGCACAAAGCTAGTTTTCAAACATCAGACCAGGAAAGCCACTGCTCTATTTATAGTTCTCTTTAACTCTTTTGTCTTTTTAAAAATAATTGTGAAAAAAATTGTGTAGTTGTACATTGTGTAACTGATAAGATAGGAAAAAAACAATGAATGTACAAATAGAAATATGACACCAATTCCTGATTGTAATACTCCGTGACTTCAGGCAAATCACATCTCAGTAATTTAGAAATGTGGCTAATACCTCACTTGTCTCATTGTGAGGGACCATTAGGAGGATCATCTTTAAGGTAATATGGATAAAAAATCCTTGGGAAACAGATTATACATCTATCAATAAATCATTAGAAATTTAAACATTTAAAATTCTAACATCCAGTGATTTCTGTAGGAGCCCTGAAGCCTGGTTCTGCAGCTTCTGTGCTCTTCCAAAGGGTGTGCCTGCCTCCTGGCAATACCTGAGGGCCTTCCACATTCTAACAGGCACATGGGTACATTAACAGCTGTAAAGAAATTAATGTCCATTTCTTCAACCTTTATATGTATTTTTCTAAAGAAAACCCAATTTCCCTAGGAATGTGCCAGAGTCTACAGGCTCTCCTCTTCTTCCTTCACTACTGCGCTTCTCCCCCAGCCTCAGAACAGCACAGCTCTGACTGGATCCTCATCTTATCTAGCACACCGCCCCAGGGGCAGAAAATACTCGTGGAAAGACAAGCAAAGGTATGAGTGGCAAGCTGGTGAAAAAGTGCCCAGCTCAAAAACCTGGTAACAGATCTCTAAGTGGGTTCTGATACCTGATGATCAACAAAAACGAAAAGACCTAGGGGCGCCAGGGTTGTTCAATCGGTTAAGCATCTGCCTTCGGCTCAGGTCATGATCTCAGGGTCCTGGGATCGAACCCCGCGCATCAGGCTCCCTGCTCAGTGGGAAGCCTGCTTCTCCCTCTCCACTCCCCCTGCTTGTGTTCCTTCTCTCATTCTGTCTCTTTCTGTCAAATAAATAAATAAACTCTTTAAAAAAAAAAGACCTAAAGAAACTGTCAAATGATAAAAAGATTGATAAAACAGTATTGATAGCTCATTTTGAGTTTCAGTTTATAACCTACAAAAGTTCAAACAGCTGAGGAACATGAGAAATTTCTTTTAATCCCCAGATACATGATTCTGTGAACAAATTTCCTGAGGATCATGAGGAAAAAAAAAAATAAAAATTAATGTTGAATTCTAACTTACTCTAATAAGTAACAGACATACAAATATATATAAATGAATAGGGAGGGGGAAAAGGCTGCTTCTATCTCATAAAGAAATGTATACCTAAAAGAATTTTATTTTATGTTTCCTAATATTTTTAAATCATGTAAATATATTTATGTTGTTTAAACAATTGTATAGGAGTTATTGTAATGAAAATTTAGTCCAGGAAAAATCTTTTTAAGCTTAATAATAGTCTTACTGTTGCTGGAAATTTAAAAATTTTTAAATTGACATTTTTCCCACAGAAAACTGCAACTAACTGATCTATAAGTCTATCAAACCTAAGTATATTAAGATAAAATTCTGTAGAAAGAGTAGAAGATTCAAGTCGAATTCAAGTCCAAGGAGAAAGACAGAATAAAATTTTGACTTTCAAAAAAGAGCTTGCTATGGTATTTGGGATTCTAATGGATTTGTCTACAAGAATGATACAAGGGTTTTTACTTTATAATTTCAATATTTACAATATGCCAGAAAATGCATCCTCAGCAATCATTTAAATTTAAGTTTATGACGGAACTTTTAAATGTCAACTGTAAACGTGAGGGAGTGCATATTTTTCAAGTCTTTCCAGAGATACTTGGGCCTGAAAATTGAAGGACCAGTGCTCTGGGACTGTTGATCCAACTTTAGTATGTAGATTGATCTGAGAGTTAAGTAAAAATTCACATATTTCTGAGTATTCCACTCCTAGAAATTCTGATTCAGTAACTATGGCTCAGAATCAATTTCTGACAAGGAACCCCCCAAGTCATTCTGATGCTCATTAAAGCACGCTATGAGAAATATCACTGTAGCGGTTATAAAATGAACTTCATTCTTTTATAACTAAAAATCACATGTAAAAGTAGCCTGATTGTATAATCCTAACTCCTATTCAAATATAACCTGCTATTCAGGCAAAAGTTAGAAAACATGTTTCTAAATACATTTATTTTTAAGAGTAGTCACATCTATATCCTTAAAAGAAAAGCAAAGAGAAGCAAAAAATAAATAAATAAATTACATATAGCGTGGCTCTATTGTTTTCAAAGTCCTTTTTACAGATTAGGTTCCAAACATCACATTAAAAGAGTAGAGGAACAATTTCAGGAAACTAAGGTTCTAATCTTGACTTTACCATTACCTCTTGTGACTGTGGATAAATAACTAGCTACTGTGTTTTTTACTTCTATAAAATGAATTGGTTGGACTAGGGTTCTTAACCTAGGATATAATGGGTTGAATGTCATTAAAGAAGCTCTTAAAATTGAATTCATGTGTATGTGTATTTTTCTGGGATAAGAAGATACACAGCATTAATCAAATTCTCAAAGGTATCAATGGCCACACAGCACATCCCCCCAACTGATTAAGAAGAATGATGTCTTTTAGTTTTAAAATTGTATGATTCTTACAAATGTAACTCTAGGCATACTTGTCTTTGGAGGTGTGGCTGCATCATGGAATACTGAGGGCCGCTGTGCCTGGGTATCCCTGGTATTCGGGCAGCGTTCTGAGCCAATCTCATCTGATGGGCTTGGAAAGCTCCACAGTTCATGTTGCCTCTTTGCATTGTTTGCACACTGATCAATCTCGGAGGCTACAAAAAGCAGAAATTGCATTTATGTAATAATATTTTTTATATATATACCTTTCAATTATAAAATGTTATGGGAAAAATCATTCTGTCAGGACAGAAGGGCATAAAGTAAAAAGTATAAGTCACAATTCTCCCCATCTCTAGCCCCAATCCCTTCCTCTCAAATACACGTGTGTATTTAAGGCCTATCAACATTAACTTATCCAACCCTGGATTAATGGTTTTGATTTGGATGGGGGTGGGGAGATCAGGAGAGATACAGGGATGGAAATGATTTGAACAAATGCCTAAAGAACTTATCAGATTGGGGCGCCTAGGTGGCTCAGTCGGTTAAGCGTCCGACTCTTCATTTTGGTTCAGGTTGTGATCTCAGGGTCATGGGATCAAGCCCTGTGTGGGGCTCCGCACTCAGTGTGGAGTCTGCTCCAGACTTCCTCTCCCCCACCCCCTTCTTAAATAAATTAAATAAATAAATAAATAAATAAGAACTTATCAGATTCTAGACAAAAACTATCTGTCCCTCTGGCCCAAAACCATATGTGGAAAACAAAAAAATATATGGTATGGAGGGATAAAATAATCTTGTGCTCCTCCATAGTACTAGTGAATTAATTTTGTTTCCCATGGTAAGTATTTAATACCCTTCCTCACATCTCCCCCAAATCCCTGCCAAACCCAGAGCAAATATTTAAATTCTAACTTTTGAGCTTTGTCCCTGCTAGTAACGTTGAAATGTATAATTCATCCATACAGGACACAGTGTAATCCTGAGGCCTTCATAATTTGTCAATAATGTCATGATGTAATAATACTCACCTGTTGCTGTAACATCTGTGGGGCTGCTTGCCTCGGGTGCTGCTGTGTTGTTGTTGTTGTTGTTGATACAGGTGCAGGTGGCTGCTGCATTCTCATCTGTTGCAACTGCTGATGTTTCTGTGCATACACTTGTTGTTGCATGTGCTGGAGTCGAAGCTGTGCTAAGTTAATCTGTCCAGGGGTTTTACTAATGTGGTTTGTCCCTGGAGGAACTTGCCCAACTACAACATTAGGAGTATAACCAGGAGCTGGTTTACTCTCTATTACTAGATTACCTGAAGGATTTAAAAAATGAGAATAATTTGCATATAAATGATTATATCATCTACTTTGTGGATTAGTCACTATCTTTTCCTCTTTCCTTTGACAAATATCAGCACTCAAAGCTTCTGACAGTACAGCAGAGATGGGAGCTAGGTTTAAAGATAATGAAGATCAGAAACATAGTCCAAAGCCAAAAAGACTTTTGAGTCTTCAGAATAATATATTACCTGCCCTTTTTCTTTATTTACACAAATGCACAGAAAATTAAAGATCTGAAAGAGATATTATCAGAGGAGGCCCACGTAGTCAAAATCAATTCTCCCGGACAGACTCAAGGATACCTAAGATTGCTAATGCTGATGCCATCTGCCTCTGAATTGCCAAAGTCTGCAGGGCAGAGTAGGACACTGCTCCCTGCTCCAAAACTGTCTGTGGAAACATGGAATGTTTTAACCACTTATGTCGCTAAAAATGACAATTTTCCTTGCTTCTTACTGAGCCCGGTGTTTTCTAGGAATAGAAAGCAAATTTTAGGAAGGTTTGATATAAGGCAGAGTCGGCAAACCTTTCCTTTAATGGGTCAGATATTTTAGGCCTTGCAGGCCACATAAGATCTATCATATATTCTTTTATTTTCATTTGTTTTTACAACCCTTTAAAATGTAAAAACCAAACTTAGCCACCATGCCACACACAGTTTGCCAATGCCTCATCTAAGACTATAACCAAATTTTAATATACACAAAGATTATTTTTTTACAGAAAGCCATCCACCTCTGCTTTTACAACTTCCAATGGTGAGGATCTGACTATTTTGAAAGTGAGTTTACTCATCTGTAGACAGTTCTAATTGTCGGGAAGTTTTTGGCCTTTGTTGTGAATTGAGCTGTTTGTCTGTCTCCCTGTAACTTTCACCTGTGGTCCACAGGTCCACACTGTGGAGTAACTAGAGTGAAGTCCATTTCTCTTCCGTGTGGAAAAGAGCTACTCTTATCTTTCAAACATTCCTCAGTACATGACTTTCAGACACATCAGCATCCTGGAGGTCCTCCTCTAGTGGACAATTTGGTACAATTTATATACAAACTACTAAGCATCTAATAAATCCTTCCAGAGAATGAAACCCCATTTGCTAATAAGTTTTTGACATGAAACAGTCATTATTAATTTTAAAAGATGGGGAAAAGTTAGCAATGATACACATTTTTAAAATCTACACATAGGAGATTCTCAACATTCTTAAAGATGTCATGAACATAGCTCGAGTTCCCAATGAGGAACATATTTTCCAAGAAGTTTACATGTTAGAGTGAAGTTTCAAGTCTCTAAAATTTGCTTTAGATGTTTTTTCCTCCTAATTCAGTGAACCCAGTTACATTCATAAAACTAATTATTTCTCACCTAAATTGACTACATTCTTTGCCCAGAAGGTGGGATCACAATGGAAACGAATTGCTCCATTAGCAGCAGGCACAGGATCACACCGTGCTTTCAAAATATGGCGCAATTGAAAAGTAATCTTAAAGGGAAAAAATTCACATTAGTCTTAAAAATTGTAAGTATCACTTGAGAAAACATACATGATAAAGACATAAAAAGCTCATGTAGCCCCACAAATCTCAGATGAGACAGTATGTGTTTAAAAGGCTATCTATATTAGCAATCAAATGCACATGCTTGAACTTCTGACATTTCTGGTGATAAAACTACATTACAATGGTGATAAACTACTAAGTACATTACGATACTAGGTATCTTCAGGACAGTAAATACTGTATGATTCCATTCGTATGCGATTCCAGAAAGTGAAAGAAATCAGACTATGGTTGCCTAGGGTCAGGAGCAGAGGGGAACAAGGACACTTTTGTGGGTGACAGAAATTTTCTGTATCTTAACGTGGCGGTGGTTACACTTGCAAAAATACAAAATCTAATACTTTACCCAAGTGCAATTCACTGAATGTAAGTATCTCAATAAAGTCCACTTAGAGACCATAAATATACTATACTATGTATGTGTCTCACCAGTCGCTTGCTGTACAGTAGTGCTGTGCTGCTGCCACTTGCAATTGCCCAGTTTGTAAAGTTCATAACATGCTTCACCTGCCGGGAGAGGCCTGTGATGTCGTTCTGCTGCTGCAGTAACTTCATCTGTCTTTCTTTTGTAACATTCTGAAACAGAACAAGAATTCAATGACGAATTCTATATGAAAAATTCAACTCACAATTTTTATTGCAGATGAACACAATACCTACATTACTTTTTAAAATTAGGATAAGTTGACAAGCACCTCATTATTTAATGAGTCTCTGATCAAAAGAAAAGTCACTAACAAAAGCGGAACTAAAACTTAAGTTCCCTAAGCTAACAAGGGACATTCCATATATAGAAATTAATGTTAGTTGATGTCTCTCTTTTCCTTCAGAAGATAAAAACAGTATCTATTATTAGGCTGATCCAATACACAGAATCTACGGCATAATGAGCTGACCTTTAGAAATATGATATACTCAACTCTACTTTTCAGACCAAAGAAAATTTTGTGTTGCCAGTGCCACCTACTGGTGCAGCATGAGGCTAGAGTTAAAATCTCTTCCTTTAAATACTTTAGACAAAATGAGAAACGTAAATTCCAAAGTTCTAAGAGCAGAGTTAGGGAAACTTTTTTTTAAAACGACAAAAGTTCATAAAAGAACAAGGAAGTCAGTAAGAGTTGAAGGACCAATTTTGGGGGAAATGTTGCAAAGGAAAATTAAACTATCCGGGAACTAAAACTCCTAGAAGCAATAGGTGATGTCCTATACACTTTAACATTTGGCATGCCAAACAACCTATCTACTTGGTACTTAACCATTTTTCTTAATGCCTCAACTTGATTTATTGGACAGATTTTTTCCTAAGAAAACAAGTTGCTCATTTTGTAATGTAAAACAGGGGATAAAAGTATTCAACTGATAGAAGCTTGATTCACAACTTCCCTGGAAATCATCAAAGCTTAGGAAAACTTCTGTTTTACAAAGTTGAAGAACATTTTACACTAGAAAACATCTATCGTTTAAATTCAGCATATTAGGAATATGTGGCAGATTTATCATTTCGTATTTTTGTATATTTTAGTATTAAGAGGCATCTTTTCACTCAAAAATTCTTGAAACTGTTTAAGAACATTATTTTAGACTATAGTGAAAAATGTATTTGCAGTAACTTAAAAGGTTATCAAAAATAGTTGCTGCTCAGTGCTCTCCATTCACACAGTCCTTTTGAAAACAAAAATCTAGTAGAGTTAAATGCATCAGCTGGATGTACAACAAGAAAGAGACCTCCAACTTTTAACAGTATGTGCGAGAGTACTTTTAGTCTCACAACTGTGTCTCAATAAAAAGATGTATTTCAAAAGACTAAATTCAGAAATAGCACTGCCAACATCATTTCTTTCATTTGTATGTAACTATGTGTCTAATATTTCTACAATGTTCTATGAAGGACTGGAACAGAAAAAAAAACTGTGGAAAATGTGAGGTTAATAGTAATGGAAGTTAAAAAATCAAATACATAGTTTAAACTGCTACCATTTAATGGTGCAGAAAACGCAACCCCATATCATCTAAGCCTACTAAAGAGCACCAAATCTTGAAAACCAATGAACATAGCAGTGGTCAGTAGACGCGACCCTTTGTTTAAAACTTAATTTGGATTTCACAAATTGACCGATTCTTATCTAGAAATTTATATCTACATATTAATCTCAAAATATGCAACAAAAAACAATACAAAATTATCAGTAAGTTTAAAGTTTATAAATTTCAAAATGAGCATTTTTAGCAAAACTATGGAATATTTTTAAAATAAAGTGAAACACACAAAGGACTCAAGCAGACTCCCAATATACATTCACATGTTAATATAAATTGAGGGCCTATCTTGGGGGGTGGGGAGGATGTAGCAGGTTGGCTTTGTCTTAGTTTATATAACATTTTAGTAATAATTCTTTCATTCCTAAGAGGACAACACTATCTCCTAATTTATACAGCTAAAATCAGTATTATTAAATTGGGCTGCAAATTAACTAACTCAATAAAGCTCTATTTTCCAATAGAAAATGAAATAAAAAAATGTTTTTAACTTTCTTTACTTCCATGCCCCCCCAACCAATCTAAAAGAGCTTTCAATAAACATTAAAAACAGCTAAAGAGCAATAGAAGCAGTTTTTGTTTTATTTTGGCTTTGAACCGTACCTCTAGCTGCTGTAAGAGAGATTTTCCTTTCTTATTAATTTCATTGATAAGGGTGAAAATGGCCACTTTAATTTCCTGTTCTACTCGTTTGTTAGTCTCATTTACTTCTTTTATCCTGAATAAGAGAAATGCATCATTAGGTTATCAACTTATCCTATGTCTCTGAATCATCAACTGTTACAGAAATTCATCCAACTGGGCACTTAAAGCGAGTAATTAAAATTAAACCTTTGTCAAAATGTACAATTTATGTTTCGGTAGACCTGAGCACTCAATTTGGTCCAAACAAGTTATTTATACAAAGAACGGAATATTTAGTAATTTTAAATTAAGTTCATAAAGGCTAGTTTATTAGTCTAGATGGCAATCTCCTTTAGTTCCTATGACCTGAATGTGATATATAAACATCTGACATCAACATTTGTTGTCTAGTGTCAAATCTGGCACCTTGGATCTACTTAACACTTTTCAAGAACATGTGCAAAAGAACAATGAATGTTGCAAACAGTAATTATCTGTTGAAATAACAGGAATTAAGCTTAGAAGCATTTATTTTCTCTTACAACTTAACCACTTCAAATGTGGGTTCTGATACACGCCCCCCCCTTCCCTAGCTTCTTCTCAAAACAGTTTTCCTACTGTACAGAATTAAGGGTATAAAACAACTTCAATCCATTTTGTAAAAGAGTTGTCAGATGTTTTAGAATAGGTATAAGCTCCCATTTTGGCAATGAAAAGTTTTGGTTGCAGATATGAAATAGCTGATACCTATTTCGGGGGGGGTCCCACCAATGTAAATATGTAAAATGTTCAACAATCAAAGAAAGCAGCCCTCAACTTTTACATTCTACTTCTTTAGAAATTATTATCTATATTTTCAACCTCTAAAATGTCTTTTATTTGCCCAATTCAAATTTGAGTAACTTTAATCTGAGTAATTATAATGTAATTTTCCCTCCTTTGTCTATACATCAGCACATGTTTGGGCACTTATTTGAAAATTTTATTCAATTCTGTTCTTATCTTATTAAAGTGAGTAGAAGATGTCTTTTTAAAAAATAAGAGTGCTAATTACTATTGATAATGTAAGGTTCCAACTTAAAATGATTCAGCCGAAGACTAAAATCATTAAGCATGCTAAAAGCAGAGAACAGTTAGCCATAGTCAGATTCTCATTAGATTTAAGCCCGTCTACTATATGTTCAATTGTGAAGAAAGAAATCAATGTATATTAAAAAATGGAGATAGGTCATTAAAGAATGTGTCTGTCTAAAGGGAAGTATTATCGGAGATTTCAATACTTTAAAAAAAAATCTTTCTGGAGATGAAATCATTAGTCTCCCCAACCCTCTGCAATTTTATAACACATAAACTTCTTGTTCTCCTTCTCTACACAGATTCAGAAACACATATATAAAATATGTACAAAACATTTGTACAAAAATACGGGACACCATATGAATCAACTCACTATCCTTTCTCTGAAAAGGACATTCATCTGTTATTTATGAGAAGGTAGCTACCACCCTCTCCAGTATCACCCACAACATAGCAGTATCACTAAAACATCCTGACATTTTCATAACAATTAACCATCCATGAATAGTTTATGTAATATATTAGTGTAGGTATATACAGTTGACCCTTGAGCAAAGTCGGGGTTAGGAGCACCTACCCCTATGCAGTAAAAAATCCATGTATACCTTTTGACTCCCCAAAAACTTAGCTAGTAGCCTACTGTTGACCAGAAGCCTTCCTGCTAACATAAACAGCCGATTAACACATTTCATGTTATATGTATCACATACTATATTCTTAACAATCAAGTTAGCTAGAGAAAAGAAAATGTTGTATTTATTGAAAAAAATATATAAGTGGCCCCACAGTTCAAATCCATGTTGTTGAAGGGTCAACTGCATTGTTACATCTACAACTTCAGAATAGCCTTTGTTTTCTTTTGGTATCACTTCGTAAGATGAAAGTTAAGATGAAAGTTCTACCACCTTATGGTCTAATATATAATGTATTATTCATTCATCTATTTAATACTTTTCAGTATCTATTGTCATTTTTAATCATTTTAATCATCATAAATTAACTTCAACATTCTAGAAGTACCTAAAAGTCTCAATATTTGTGAAACTGAAAAATACTTATTAACCCTATTCACACCTTCAGGAATATACAGATTTTAATTATGCCAGCTCCAAGTGTTCATCTTTCTACACTGAGTCCCCACCTTGTTAATGTACTCTTTATGGAAACTATTCCAACTTGCCTTATCAATAAATTTAGTTCATTTAGAAATGAACCTGAATAAAATGTTTAAATACTGATGGTATTATTGGTAAACAGCAACAGTTAAAATCTGAGGGTCTGCTATGTGCCACAAACTGTGCTATACATTCATCTTATAATAACACTATTAAGAAAAGTAGTATTTTTAATTCTTGTTTTACAGATGGGGAGGTAAATTTAACCACCATTCTTCATATTCTCTCCTCTATACTATGTCTTCCACATAGTTAAAATTTGTAATTCAACTCTCTACATATTAATTGCTTTTTCCACAGTTATTTAAGGCTTTACAGAGTCTAGAGTTTTGTTGATTATAAAATAGTCAAAGACGTATCTTAAGAGTATTCAAAATTTTGGTGAATTAAATCTTACTTAACTAACAAATACTATTATCCAAACTCAAACTTATATGATTTACCCTTCCAAAAATGTTTTCTATATATGCTTAATATAATATAGAAGGAAAACATATATAAACTGGACCTACTGTGTTATTAATTCTTAAAGTGAAATTATGGTTTTAAGGCAACACACTTACCTATTCTGCACCTGAGTAGCTGCAAAATGAACATAATTCTTCTTCTCAAGAAGCTTAGCCAGTAGATTCTCAATTGCACCTTTCTGGTTTTGAAAAGCTTCTTCCAAAAACTGGTATCTTAGAACAAAAACAAAAACTACACTTAGAATGGAAAATTTACTATTAAAATTATTAAAATGAATTGCTACATGACTCAAACTTAAGACCTTACTTAAATGATGGACATTCTATGCTGTCCTCACATACCTTACCTCAACAGCAACTTTTAACTACCAATCCCTTTCCTTCTGACCCAAGCCTGAGAAGCCATTTTATAAGACTAAAAAAAATTAAAAACTATTCAAGTGCTCTTAGATCAGAATTTTCATTCAGAATTACATTTTTTAAAAAATCCAAATATTGGAATAAGTTGTATATGTTTTAAATCATAAAATATAACATTACAGAAAATACTTTCAAAAGTGGGGAACTACCCATAGTTTTAACATCATAAAACCACTACTACCACTGTAATATATACTCCTTAGCCTTTTTATTCTGTATTCCAAAATACAAGTATATAGAATGTATGTGCAATTTATATCTGACTTTTATCTTGTCTTTACAATCACCATTTGAAACAATATTTCAGCGCTCCATACTAGTCAAATTTTTCCAAGACTTGAACCAATTAAAAAATCACCAACACCAGTTTTATTGTAACTTTGTCAATGTGAGTGGTGTTTATTATTTCCTAATATTATTGTGTGAAAATTTACACTTGAGAGTAAACACTACAGTTCTCTGGCTACTAGGAGGGTAGAATAGTTTTCTTTCCTAGTTTTAGTTCCTTTGTGTAAACTGTTCATTAAGTCAACAAATATTTTTGGGATTCTTCTGTATGTTAGGGACACATGAGTAAAAAAATCCATTATTGTTCATAGTCTTGTAATAAATAGGCACACATATGAAATGATACCATACTGTGATAAAAACTATAATGGAGATACATATAGTCTGCAACAAGAACACAGCCTTAATACCAAGGAAAGCTTCACAGTGAAGTCAGAATAGTATTATCATATGCATATTTAGGGAACTACAAAGACTTCAACTTAGCCAAAGAAAGCCAGGCAAAGGTCAAAATATGAGATAATAATTAATAAAATCCAGAATCAGGCTGTGAAAGGCTGGGTATGCCATGCTAATGTTTGGATTTTACCTTCTTAGTAATGGGAAGCCCTTGAAAAATTCTAACCAAGATGTAATAATCAGATTTATGTTCCAGGAAAATCGTCAGACAGAAATATAAAAGATAAATCTGAAGAAGAGAGAACAGGATGACCAGCTAGAACTCTATGACAGTAGCTCAGATAAGGTATCAGAATATAACACTAGCTTACATAGCTGCACAAACAAGCTTGAACAATGGACTCTGTCAGAGAGATCAGCACCTTTGGTAATTTGGGAGTTTACATGCTCCAATTAATGTAAGGTCTATGGTATGCCCTAAAAATTAAATGCCTAGCTAAGGCACAGTCAAGAGAAGATCACTGGAAATGAGCTCAAGATACTGACAAAGTTACAACTGTCTATGTGGATACTGAAATCACTAAAGGCAGAAATTGAGATTAAGAGGAAGACTATGAGCATCTAGATGTCTGTGTCTTCAGTGAAAGTCTCGCTTAAGGTAAATTTAGGAGAAAAGGTTAAAAAGTTGTGAATGCTGAGAAAAGTTTGGTAAGATGAAGGAAAAGTTCACTTAGTGCTCGGGTTCAAGAGGTAAAGGAAAAATGGAGGGCAGTAGAAGGCAAAATGTACGGCAATATGAGGACTGGTATAACAGAGAACATTCAGCAACTGAGGTTTTTATTTTGTGCATTGCTTTTAAGAATTTTATTGTAGTAAAACATACTTAATAAAACTGGCCACTTTACGATTCTTAAGAATTCATTTTTAAAGCAAAACAAAACAAAAAAACAAAACCCAAACCCTTGTATATAATGTAAAGTCTAATAACACTTTATAGTTTAAGACATTAAACAGCAAAAAAAGATGTGGGTATTTTAATTTTAAATTAAAACTATCAAAATTAATTAAAACTATCTGTCAGATAGATAGGTAACCCAAAGATTGTTTCATTTCATTCTTTCATTGAAAAACATCTGATTTATTCCATATACCACAATTTCTCTATGTCAAAAATAAAATTTTACTTTGTTAAATCTGTACAAATGAAGTAGGAATATGAGATTACCATGCTAACCAGTTACCATTTGTGACTCAATGAGCTTTAAACTGAGATGAAGAAAGAACTTTTGACAGAGTTTGATTATGTCAGTAAATAGAAAAGCACTTGGTAGAAAGGTCAACTAGTATCATAATTCACAAAATTTTAATTCATAAAATTTAACCCTGTACAAATTTATTTCTCTTCTCACCTCAAAATAAAGGTTTCAGAATCCTGTCTCCAGAAATATCTTCTTGATTCATGTGAACAAGTATTAAGCAAACACACTATGATATACCTACATTTAAGTATGTGTTCTTTCCTCCCCTTATACAGGAGTTAACATTTGAGCTGGATGTTTAAGGATGAGTAAGAGTACTCGAATAAACTTGGGAGGAAGGTAAGCTCTGCCACTGGGGGAGAAAAAAATCTGAATGTATATTAGTTCATAGTTCTGAAGCGATCTGTCCTTTTCAAGGCTAAGGAAAAGAGAGCAAAACCAGAAAAGTAGAGAAATATGAGATGCTAAAAAGACTTGCACATTTTGCTTAAGTTGCATTCAGATAACAAATAATAGTGAACCATTAAGGAATTGAATGAAAAGTGATACTCAGATTTGTCTCTGTTCACTTGATTAATTTCAATTATATAATTAGAAGAAAACTACTAACTGGATCTTGAACAACAAAAAAGCAACATGGAAGTAGTTTTGGCTACAACTTCTGATTCTCCTAGCTAAGAGAATAACTAACTCTGCATTTTCATTTTTAGCAAATCAAAATTATTGTTGAAATACTTCAGGGGCTCCTGGGTGGCTCAATCGTTAAGCATCTGCCTTCGGCTCAGGTCATGATCCCAGGGTCCTGGGATCGAGCCCCTCATGGGGCTCCCTGCTCAGAGGGAAGCCTGCTTCTCCCTCTCCCACTCCCCCTGCTTATGTTCTCTCTCTCGCTGTGTCTCTCTCTGTCAAATAAAGAAATAAAATCTTAAAAAAAAAAAAAAAGGTAGGGATACCACAGTAAACAAAACAAAATACGGTCATCGTCTTCTTCCTTTCCTTACATTCTGAGGAGAAAACAAAAATTTAACTAGAGTTATGTGATAGAGAAAACACAAGTGGAAAAAAAATCTAGATCAGAAACCCAGAAAAGATTCTTGAAGAGTTTGTACTGAGATCTCAAAGATCAGAACCAGCCATGCAGAAATCATAGATGAATCATAAAATGATCAGAGGCATGTCTGCATTGCTGCAAAGGAAAATGACCAATGGAGTTTTTACTTTTGTAATAATTTACCAATTAACATTTTTGCCAACACACATCTCAACCAACCTGTCCCTTTGCCAAATGGATAACTGATTACTCTGAATGTTTCTTTCTCAAATCTTCTCTCCTGATATTCCTGTCATTCAAGCTCTTAGCCACGCTCAATTCTTTTCCTAGTCATAAGCATTCATTCTGCTGGGTAAGTGAATCTGAGACTTATGAGTTCCTCAGATAATCTGATAGGCACACAAACTATAGTACTAAAATTAACAACTTTTTTTTAAGCAAAACCAAAAGGAATTAACTCTATTTTGGAGTTAATCACTAACGTGAACTACAACTGAACCATATATTCAATCTCAAGACTCATATAGACTCCAAGATAGCAAGGACAGTCTCAGTTGTTTTTATTACTGTATAGTCATCACCTAGCATGGTACCTGGTACATGGTGAGCCCTCAAATATCTAATGAACAAAAAGAGCTGAATGAATACAAATACTGAAACAAGCTGCTTTTTCTCACAATAAATGTACCACATGAAAACAATATGCTTGGGGGCACCTGGGTAGCTCAGCTGGTTAACAGTCCAACTCTTGATCTCAGCTCAGGCCTTGATCTCAGGGTCATGAGTTCAAGCCCCTCACTGGGCTCCACTGGGCTCCACACTGGGCGTGGAGCCTATACTACAAAAGAAGGAAAGAAGGAAAGGAAGGCAGGCAGGCAGGCAGGCAAGCAAACAATACACTTGGACAGAAAATCTTGATTTGTCACCATAGCTCTGAATCTGAAATTTGCTCCCTGAGAAAACTGATGGTACATATGAATTTACAACATGTCATTTTTACCGGCAATTTGGATTTTATCTGAAAGTCTTCGGGAACTTTGCAAGAATTTACAGAAAAATAATGAGTTTGGCAAAGGTTCTTCCTAAGTAGAGGCTATCAAACTTCACTGAATAACAAAAACCACCTGGGGTGATTTACCAGTATTTGTAACATACATAAAAAATTTTGATACCCAGGATGTAATTTAAAATTCTTATTTAACCAGTCTGGAGTAGGACTAAGGCATCAGTATTTTTTTTTTTTTAAAGATTTTTTATTTATTTATTTGACAGAGAGACACAGCGAGAGAGGGAACACAAGCAGGGAGAATGGGAGAGAAGAAGCAAGCTTCCTGTGGAGCAGGAGCCCGATGTGGGGCTCGATCCCAGGACCCTGGGATCATGACCTGAGCTGAAGGCAGACGCTTAACGACTGAGCCACCCAGGCACCCCCACATCAGTGTTTTTTTAAAGCTCTCTAGGTAGGTCTACATCTAGGATTGAAAAGAAAAATATCTGCTCTAAAGCTTATTTATCCATCTATCGACCCATCTATCCATTTTTCAATATAAAAGAAAATATAACAAGAAAAGTTATTTCTCAGGAAAATATTTTAGAGAAATTTCACTTATACAGCTCCATTCAAGTGACTTCCATTATAAACTATCTTGCTCTTTAACAAAAATGTCTGGCATTATATTTTAAGTACACTCTCTTTTAAACCATAATGATCCTAAAAGTCTACAAATACCACTATACACAAAACCTCAGACATAGAATCAATGAACTCCTCACAAGTCCTCAGCCAAAATCTGGGC